AGACAGAATGTAAGAGCAAAAGAAAGAAAAATTTGTCTTGAGTAAGACTGTCTATACATAATAGAAAAAGTAATCATAGCATGAAAAATCCGATATCAAGATTTTCTTTTCGAGAATAACGACCTTGATATTTCGAGTTTTTACTACTTCAAAATTTTATTTTGTAAGATTTTTTTCTTTATTTCATAAAAGAAATACATTACTTCTACAATAAATCTAAGAATTTAGAGAATGTTCAACAATTTATAACGAAGAAAACAATATTTATTTGATCACTTTAAATTGTCGACCAACTTCAGCAAATGCATCAATACATCGTTTAAGATCAGCTTTTGAATGAGCAGCTGATACTTGTACACGAATACGAGCACGATCTTTTGGTACCTAGAAAGAAAACCAAAGAAGAATTTATTCGAACATTTTTTTTTCCTTTTTGAGATTATTTACCACAGGATAACTAAATCCAATAACATAAATTCCTCGTTTAAGCATTTCATCAGCAAATTGACTTGCTAATCGAGCATCACCAAGCATTACTGGACAAATTGGATGACTATCACCTAAAATCTACATATAAAAAAAACAAATGAATTTTTCAAAGAAAATAAATAAATAAATAAATACTTGAAAACCCAATGTTTGCATTTCTGTACGAAAATATTTAGCATTTTCAAGTACTCGACCTGGTAAACTAGTATCATTTTCAATTAAATCAATAGCTTTCATAGCACTAGCTACAACAGAACTAGAAATAAAAATAATTTTTAAATATAAAATTCTTTTAAAATATACAAACGGAGGAAGTGTATTTGAAAAAAGATATGGTCTTGAACGTTGTCTTAAAAGATCTATAAGTGCTTTTGGTCCAGTTGTATATCCTCCAGCTGCTCCACCAAGTGCTTTTCCTAATGTTGAATTAATAATATCAATATTTCCAGTCATTTGAAAATGTTCTTCTGTACCACGACCTGTTGGTCCAAAAAATCTTTTCAAAAAAGAAAAAATAATAATTTTTTTTTTTTAAATAAATTCATAATGAAATTTATATAATTTTTACCCAGTTGCATGACATTCATCAACAAAAATTAATGCTTTGTATTTATCTGCTAAACGTCGAATATCAGGTAATGGTGCAATGCTTCCATCCATTGAAAAAACTCCATCAGTTGCAATTAATCGAATGATATTTTCATTTTTATCATTAAAACTTTCTTGTAATTTTAATTCAAGATCAGACATATCTTTATGTTTATAACGTAATCGTTTAGCTTTACATAAACGAATACCATCAATAATTGATGCATGATTTAATTCATCCTATATTAGATAAATAATGTTAAATTGTTCATTTCTTTCAAATTTTTTATAAGTTAGAAGGACTAAAAATTCTTGCAGAAAGTACTTTCATTGTCGGAGTACTAGAAAAGGTGACCTAATTCTTGCTACAACAGATATCTGATATTAGGTCGTCTTTCCCTTGAGGCCTACTCTAATATTAAACACCTGGCAACGACACTGTCTACTTATTTTTATGTCACTTTCTACTAGACAAATACAAATGATGTTTCAAAATCCGATATCTGTCCAAAGTTACCATGAAACTATAAAAAATTGGCAGAAAATCGGACATTTTGAGGGAATGGAAAACTTCACCCTCCTAATCGAGAACTCGAGTCATGTTCTATAATGTTTATCTTTCGATGTATTTTCATAGTTATTTTTGTAATATATTACAATTTATTAACGGATAAGTTACTTATTTCTGTCGTTTATTGCTTATCATGTTTTTTTTTATTCTATGAGGGTGTTTTTTTTTAAATATATTCCTCTTTGTCAATTAGACAGAATATCGATTTTTGTTTTCGATTATATCATTGGACGTCTATGGCTTAACCTTAGCAGGTAAATGTCTTGTTGTTTAGTCTACGTTGAAAGAATCAGTCATAAACATGTGCAATTACTTAAGACATCTGTATGTTATGTACTACGATCTTTTGTGTGACTGTAGGAAAACTTTATTAGTTTTAGTCTTTTTTTTTTTCATCTTTTTTAACATGAAAAATTACGAAATAAAATGAATGCATCGAGTGATGAAGACTCTTAAAATAAAATTTGAGACCATATAAAGAAAAAAGAATCGTTAAATTTCGCTTTTTCTTCTCTCCTCGTCGTAATCTCAATGTCAACAAAGACAGAGATGAAAAAAAAAAACGGTAAGAAAAAGAACAAAATTTTGGTTGAATCACATAAAATATATTTACAGGTTTCTTAACTAATTTAAAACTCTCAAAGTTGACTAAATAATGTAACATACACCTGATGATATCAAATAATAAGAATCTAAAGACGTGAAAAAAAGAAAAAGATAATTGATTTATTTTGCACACGTAGATAGTTAAAAACAAAATTCAATTACTTACACTAATAATATAATCTTGTTCTTTAAGTAATGTTTCAAAAATTCCTGCATTAGCATCGAAACACGATATATAAAGAATAGCATCTTCTCGTTGATGAAATTTTGCAATACGTTGTTCAACTAAATATTCGAACACAAAGTTTTCTCTTTTTTTTTTTTGCTGTTTGATCTTATTCATTTTTATTTACGTTGTTTATGTATTGTTTGTGTACCACAAATAAATCGTACTGAACTTAGACCAGATCCATATTTATCAAGAGCATTTTTAGCTGCTTGTATAATTTGACTATTATTTGCTAAACCCAAATAATTATTAGCACAAAAATTTAAAAGATCATTTGTTGAATGTTCAACTTTAATATGTGCACTTTGACTTGTTGAAATAATTCGTTCGGATTTCCATGTACCTGCTTGTCGAATAGAATCAAGTTCAGAATTTAAACGTTTATCAATAATTTGATTTAAAGTTGATGAATAACGAATAGATGATTGTTGTAATGATCGTAACCAAAAACGCATGATGGACATAGTCTATTTCTTTTACTTTTTTTTTTTTGCACTCGATATTCAGGCAACTGACTATTTGAAAGGTGAAGCAATGTTTATTTAACCGAATGTATATTTATTTAAGATGAAAGAAAAACAGAATATATATAAAGCTTTTTTTTTTTTTCAGTTACATTTATTAAGCGAACAAAATGTAAAGCAATCCAGACCATTTATACGTTTTACACATCCACTATCTTTTGTTCCAATCAATCGTTTTATCATCTTATAATCAGCTGTATCAGTTGATATACAATCACGTTGAACGCTAATTCCACTTCCTATATAAAGAAACGAATAAGAATTTTTTTGAAATTAAATTTCAATTAACCTGTACGATCAAACCATGTAAAGCAACGATCGTTATCATTTTCACATTGACGAATTTCAACATTGTCTGCTAATAAACAATCAGGATTATCTTGTTGACATGTTTTACATTCAAGAGCACAGCCTTAAAAAAAAAAGAATAATCTCAATACTAAACTCTATATGAGATTATTTCTTACTCATATGTAATAGATAAATCAGAAAAACTACTTGGACAATAAAATATTTCTTAGATAAAGTCATCTGTATTGAATGTTATTTTCAAATGTGTTCTTTTATAGTAATAGATGTTAACATATATATATATATGCGTGACTCTCTGTAATAAACGAAGTATTTTTTAATACCGTTTCATAATGTCACAACAGAAAAAGACTGGCTTCTTCATACGTCAAATCAACTAAAGAAAGAAAAAATAATAAGCCTTACTATCTGTATGATATATGGGAAAAGAGAAAACCTTATGAATATTTTTTCTGTTGTTTATAGTATTCATCAACAATTATTAATCCGTTAATAGTTCAAATAAAAGAGAATAATTATTTTAATCATCTTAAAAATTCTTTGAATTTATCCTTTTTTTTTCGATCGAAATTATCCTTATTAACAAAAATAAAAATATTGGTCCATCTGACTTCTTGTACGTACCAAATAACCTTACTTTGATTTTTTTTCTCCATGTCACTGCCATTAAAAAGTGTATTCAATAATGAAAAAACAAAAACAGCGAATTTTCATTTTTCCCAAAAAATATTCATAGATATTCAAATTTTCTTCATTAGAAGAGACTACTGAGATTTGTCTTTTTGGGATTTGTTTAATCCAACAAGTTTATATATATATATATTAATTGTATGTATTCGATTTTTAATTGTGTCGAAAAAGAATCATAGTCTATATGGATCAGCCTTACTCTTAGTGTTGTCCTTATTCCCATTCTCAATGTAATTTCTTCTGATTGATTACAAAATATATAATGAGATTTATAAAAAAAAAGAAATCCCGAAAGATTTCGAAAAAAATAATAAATCTCAGAAACTGTTGCTCATTAGAAAACTGTCAAATTCAAATGGCGTCATCAATGTATAAAAATAAAAGTAATTTAACTTCAATCTATTTCATGAAATGAGAATACTGATATTTACATTCTATTATTCCAAGTAGAAAGAAAATTTTTCATTTATAGGAACATTGATTGCAATATCAAAAAGTAACATGCAACCATAAAATTATAAATAAGAAAGGAAGAAAAAAACAAAATAAGTTTCAATGAACTATTTTATTTGTTTCTTTTCCATGGAATCTACTTTGGAAGATTATTATCGCCTTGTTGTTTTCTTGTTTTTGCGTACGAATATATCTACATGTCTTGATTAGTTTTTTTTGTTGATCTTACTTTTTTTTCTTTTTCTTAGATATCAGTGTCATAAACATATTTATATAATTCGTCATTCAGATAGAATCTGTTCTTTTTTTTTTGTTGCATTCATACACTTTTTACACAAAACACACAAACAAGCATATACATGCATGAAATCTATACAAAAATCTGTTCTGTTTTATTTGTTTATCGCGCACACAGGCCAAGAAAAAAAAAAAAGATTTTTCCGAATGAGAAAACTGAGAACAAAAAAATATATATAGCAGCGAAACAACAACAACAAAAAAAAGAGCAGAAAAAAAAGAAGATAATTCTATATGATGGTCACACTTCTCTAAATAAACAAAAAGTTCAAATAAATAAATTGATATAAAAAAAAAAACAACGATACTTACGTTGCATCGAGTGTAGTATTTAATAACAAATGACTTCGAATATCAAGTAGTTTTCTTGCTGCTAATGGATCTTTTGGATATCCAAGATATTTTGAAGGAGCACTATCATCTAATGTTGTTGTTTTTGTTGGTTTCATAAAAGTTACATTATTCAGTCGATGATTTGATGACGGTTGACGAGAATTAGTCGATAATATTATATTATTATCTGACGATGGATTATTATTAACAATTGTTGATAGAATTGTATTTTCAACACCATCTATATCGTCATAATCATTATCATCAGATAGTTCGAGATGTGCTTCTGTATGATCGTTATCATCACAATCTTCATCATCGTCGTCATCATCATCATCATCGTCATCATCATCATCATCATCATCATTATCATTATCATTATTAATTATTGAATGAATATTTGAATTATTATTTAAAATAATTTCATTTTGATCACCCAATAAAAGATCATCTGTACGTGTTAATTCATCATATCGTTTGAAATTATTCACCGGTTTTTTAAATAATCGTTTTGATGATAATGTTGATGGTAAATATTTTGATAAATTAGAATAATCTGTATTAGTTTGATTATTATCATAATCACTTTCATTTCCACTTCCACCAAATGATGATATTATCAAATTATTATCATCCAAAGGTATTATACCACGTCGTATTGGTCCAGATGTTGTAGATGAATTATTAGCTTTTGATGAGTCGTAAACAACAGTATGTGTTGAAGAACGTAGATCGTTTTCATCAAAAATTCTATGTCGACGAAAAAGATTTTGTTGTTGTTGTTGCTGTTTAAGACCAGAACGATGATGAATATGACTTTGATTACGTTTTTTTACACTTGCATATGGTGTTCGACGTAATGACAGTTCTGGTGATGGCATATGAGTATTAACAGATGGAGCAGGTTCTAAAAAGACAATAGAAAAATTCAATGGAAATCAATTCATTTTAAATCTTTAACAAACCAATTATAGTTTGATTATTTGATGATGTTATTGTATTTGTACTTGATGTTGATAGTCTACTGACTAGATGTTGACTATTTATATTATCAATCATATCATTATTAATTAAATCATTTGAATTTACAATTGAAGATATATTTTGTTCTTGTGATAATATTGAATTTGTTAAATGTTCATGATCATCTGTACCAATAACAGTTGATGATGAACTTTTACCATCAAATTCATCAAGTTCATCGGTTAAATCATCATTTTTATTTTTTAATGATGATGATGTTTGAACTTGTATTGATGATGATGTTGCTGTTGTTATTGATGATTCTTCATCAGCACTAAATAAAAATGAACCAGTTGAACTAACACCACTTGAACTATGTACACTACGAAATGAATTTGTATTGCTTAATTCATTATTTGGTATTGTTGTTGAATTATTTGTATTTATTGGTTCATTATTCCATGACATACGTTTTATAATTGCTGTTGATGGTGTTGATTTAATTGATGATTGATTAATTAATGATGATGATGATGGATTTGATCCATGTGTACCTGTACCATCAGCTGTAAAATATCGACCATAATTTTTATGATCAGTACGAGAATTTCGTCGAGTTTGTTCAACTATTTTAAATACATCAGATTCAATTTTCGATGAACGTCGTATAGATTCAGTTGAAATATTAACAATAGGTTCATCAGTTGATGAACTATCAATAGATGTACCATCAGTTTTAAGTGCAGGTAAATCAAGTGATGTTTCAGATGTTGATGATAGACTAGGTAATGATTGATGTATAGTAGACGATGTTGTATTTGATGATGATGTTGTTGATATTGAAGTTGTTGTTGTTGTTGTTGAATGATTATGTGCATTTTGTAATTTCATTTTTGATTCTTCCATTAATAATTGAAAATTTGTTTTTGTTGTTCGTATATTTTCAATCCATTGTTTACTTAAATTTGTTTGAAATAAATAACCACATTCAATTAAATTATATTCCGAAAAGACTAATGCTACAAATGATGCCTAGAAAATAAAAAATAAAAAATAAAAAAACATTTTTTTAAATTTTTATTACAACTTATGACTTACAGTATTTGGTTCATTATTACTACTACTACTTCCACCACCCCGACGATCATATTCTCGAACATCCATTCGATCAATACGTATTGGTGATTTAAGAATTTTATTTAATGTTGTAGGTATACCACGATTAAATTGTCCATCATTACTTATAGATGTTAATGATGATGATGTTGATGATGATGAATTTGTTGTACCACTTCGTTTACCACCTTTTGTTATAAGAAACATATCAGTAAATAAATAACAATAAACATCTTGACTATTTTTTGCATCTTTCATTTTCATTGGGCCTTGTTGAATAATCTGACGACGATAGCCTCGTACATATAATGGCATATCACGAAGAAGATCCAATCGATGAGAATATGAATCACGATAATATTCTTGAAGTATCTAATAGAAAAAAAAATCATATTTTTGTTTTTTGTTTTAATAGAAAGAGATAAATGAATTATGATAAGAGTAAATACGTACGGAAGTAATTTCAGGTGGTGCTGAAACACATTCGAATGGACCAATGCGATCACTTATCTGACGTACACGTTCTTCTTGTTCTTGACTATGTAATTTTGAATTGACTCGATTGACAAAAGTGGCCACTTTTTGGATCTAGAAAAAATATGTTCTTTTGTTTTGTAAGATATTTATGTAGGATATCATATAAGAATAAAAATAAGTAATGAAAGCCCTATTATCTATAGATATCTATCTTCGACAATCAAACCATTAGACTTTCTCATTATATCTAAGTATTCTTCAGCAAAACAATATACATTTATCAGTAGTGGATCTAGGATTTTTATGATGAGGAATAATTCGATGGAAATAGAGGGGACGATCATAATCATAAAACGCTTTTTGAAACACACGAACGATAGTATCATAACATTTTGAAACTCAAAAAAAGAAATCTTTTGGAATGGGTACAATGGTCCCTTCTCTAAATCCATTCCTGTCATTTATTCTGTTTGTTTTTTTGTTGATCATCTAATGACGTCAAACTTTCTTATTTACCATTTCATGTAAATCATTTCGTTGTTGATTATCTTGTGTTCGTTTTTGTATAGCTTCAAGCAATAATTTATATTGTGTAAGTCGTTGTAATGGTTTAATAGTTAGATCGGGAAATGATAAACGATTAGTAAAATTAGCTTCAATCCACTAGATAAACAAGTGAACCACAAAAATAAGTTAAAGAAAAATATTTATATATATATATATATCATTATTATTTTCTTACAGTAATTAAATATTGAAATAGATCATCTTTGGCAAGTTTTTGTTTAAAATATTCAGCACTTGCTTTTTGATCAAGTACATAATGGAGATATGATTTAAAATAAATATCAAACTAAAAAGAAATCAATGACAAATATATTCCTATGCATATCAATTAATTGTTTTTTTGTGTATTCTAACAAATAGATATGCGTAGGTTAAAAGTCGTAGACTAAATAACAACAACTGCGTCATAAGATATGACATTCTGTGGTATAGCTACTGTTTTTCTCCTTTTTTCTTTCTTTTTTTTTAATTTTCTGTTGATTGACATATTTTTTTGCATGTTAATGAAGAATAATGGAACAATTATCTGGAATACTTACTTTAAGAAAACCATTTTTAAGATCCGATGGATTCATTACACAACCAGTTTGTTCAAGTTTTATTTTAATTGGTAATAATATATCTTTCCAAAACATTAAATTTGCATTAAGTACATCTTGTATATTAGAAAATAATTTTTCCATATCAATATCATTTAAAAGACCATCACGTTGAGATGATTTTAATATCATAACACTTGTCATAAATATATCAGTCATTGTTAAAATCTGACGTATATAGGATACTTCAGTTGAAAGCATTTCATAGATAGCTTCTTGTTGCAATTTGATCGATTCTGATATGAGCTAAAAAGAAGAAAAAGAAATCCAGGTGATGACAAATGTATATATGTATGTTAAAACAAAAAAAAAGAAACCGAGAAAGAAAAAGGAGGAGATAAGACAAGTTTTCATCACTTCTCTATTGTGAGAAGGGGGTCATTTATGTACAAAGATAAATTAAGTGTAGATAGATATTGAATAGAACAGATGACAAGAGTTCAGGGACTGACTTACTGATCTTGCTTGTTCGTTTAAAAATGGTTGCCATTCTTTTTCTATTTTTAAATCACGTTCATCAATTTGAATTTGATAATTTTGTAATTGTGCTAATTTGGGTAAGCCATGTATTAACCAATCGTCACATTTACGACGAACAAATGCTAAATTACTTTCTGGTCGTTCATTAGAATCACTACCATCCTGGAGAAAATCAAAAAAAAAAAGTAATATAATTTTGAATTCATTAAAAAAAAATAATAAAATTCAAACAAAATAAACTATTCAATACCGAATTAATCAATCCATTTCCTCCTCCTGCTCCTGTTCCTCCAGCTCCTGTAAATCCTATTCCAGGATTTATTCCTGAAGAAGATCTTGATAAACTATCATTTTGAGATGATATTGAATTTATTGTATTTTGTCTTAAAAGACGACTTGCTGCACGTTGCCAACGGCGTGCAGTTTCTTTATGTGCTGTTTGATTTTGATGATTGGCAGATGATGCTTCTAGTGCACGCCATAAGGTAGCTGTATCATACGTTGTGATCGAATTTGCTTTCAATAAACGTCGATTCATTATTGACACGACCCGTACTGTGCGACAATAATGTTGACTCGTAATGATATCGTCAAATAACAAAGGATGGTAGGAGAATAGAAAGAAGAAAAGGGAATAAAAGAGAGAAGGCGAGAGAAGGAAATGGTTAATAGAACGATGTGGAAATCCGTCTTATGTATTTCTGTACTACACTTCCTTCTCTCTCTATATTTCTACTTGTTTTCTTCAGTTTTCCTTATGAGAAGAAAATATGCAACGTTCCTACTTTTTTTGCTGTTCTGATTATGAGATAGATGTCGATAGGCCTATTAATTTTTGTTTTTGCCAAAGTAGCCCATCATACATCGAATATTTATTTATGACGACAATGAAGTATTGCTATATATTTATTGAGAAAAAACAAACAAGCTAGTAATTTAATCTACTAGTTCATTTCCTCTTATATCCGTTACTCATATTACTTCACTTAAATGTGCATACAAATATAACTTATCCATATAGAATAAATTAATATTTTCTTCATTTCTAGTAGATGTTAATCATATACAAAATATGATTGATTAATAAGTTGATCACTTACATTTATATAGAATATAGGATATCTAGGGTTTAATGATCGCCAAAAAGATAAAATTGGTGACGTTGATGATTTTCTTAATTTATAATAATTAGGTAAAGATCCAGAACGGCTTGTATCATACATTGTATATGAAATTTGGTTTTATTTGTTTCTTTTTCTTTTTTTTTGTAGACTTAACCTAACATAGATATAAAAGAAAATTTCTCTCCGAAAAGAATATATGACTGTCTTTGTTGTTAAATAACTGATAAGAATTTCTTGTTGTTATTCGTTTAATATTAAACAGGTAGAGTTAACAATGAAAAATGACTCATATGTAGTTTTTTTTTCTTTTGGCTTTAGAACAAAGATGAGATCAAGACATATACATACACCCACATCCTATATATACATATATATATATACAGAATGTTGTTCCTACATTTAACGGTTCAATAATGTTGATTAAAATGTCATGTTAAACTTGATGTGTAAACATGCAAATTGATTCTACAGTTTTTTTTAAATCTCATGAGACTATTACAATATATATGGTTTTTTTCATGCACGCAATCAATTGTTCATTTGCAAGATTTGTTCTATTTTCAACTAAATAGGAAATCATGTTTCTAATGAAATGGATAATAAAGAAAAACTTTTCTATTTTCTTTCCTCTACTTTCTATATGAGTACAGTATGTAATAAGAATAAGTAGTCGAACTGACACATGCACATATATAAATAGATTGTCTTACTCGGGTAAAAATGCTGCCAGTAAAAAGACCAGAACGACTTGTTTTGCCTGATCTTGTATGTTGTTGTGAATTTGTTGATTTTAATTCTTGATTATAATTACTATTTGTTATATTGACTGGTATTATATCATCATTATCTTGCACCATACATTGACTTGATAAACGTTTTGACGTAGCTGGTGCTGATTTAGTAGTCTAAGGGAAAATATATATATATATATATAGCCGAGAAATGTCTTTTTTTAATTTGCACAGAAAACAACAAACAGATCTTGATAGTACTAACATATGAAAATCATTAACGATGTTTAGATCTTTCTTTATAATTATGATGAATAATAAAAAAAAAAAACAAAAACAAAAATCAAAAATTAAAAGAAACTATGAATGAATAAAAGAAAAAGAAAATATATCATTTAGATTAATGATAAGATAATGGAAATCTAATGGTATAAAGAATTATCCTTACATATAATCAAAAATATTATTATCAAAGTTTATTATTATCTCAAACTGTTTGTATATGACAAACGAGACTAATTATCAACCTTCTACACATAAAACAAAAAAAATAAAATAAAATACAAAACAACTCAAGAACATTTATTGACAGTATGTAGTCATAGGGCATCATTCTCTAGCTGATGCATTTAATAACAAGACAAAAAAAAAGAAATCATATTTAAGATGTATCCATTCATATGAAAATTGAGACTAGACATTGCTTTATTGTCAATATACCATGATGAGAAGGTCGAATTTTTTTTTCTTTGTAGTCATAGATAGCAAAAAAACAAAAAGAAAAGGAAACCTAACAATACGGTACCAATCATATACAATTATTCGTATACTTTAGGATATTTTGTTTGTCGCGTTTTTTTTTTGTTCTTTTTGATTAGAACAAGGACAAACAGGTGTTTCGTCACCTTATTCGATTATATTTTCTTTATAAGAAATAAATAACGAATATCAAAATATCTATTACTTATGTTCGATTAAGTTTAATATATATGATATTGATGTGAATTTTTTTTTTTTGTAACTTACTGTTGTTAAAATTGCTGAACCAGTTGAATTTCGTTTTTCATTTCGTTCTTTTCCAGCTGATGTTTTAGCAAGTGCTCGATTATTAATACGTGAACATGATGGTAAACCATGTTCTTTTTCTAAATAGACAATGAAAAAAAAAACCTATAAGAATTATCATAAATAAAATAATAAAAACAAAACGAATATGGATTTTTCTTTTTTTGTTTTTAATGAATAGATGAAGAGAGAAAAATAAAAGAAGAGACCATTGCATTTTGACTTATAAGACATTGCAGCAGATGTAGCTGATGATGGTCCACTTGCACAGATTGTCTGTTCATCACCACTTGACGATAGAAATGCCACATCATCACAGCTGATGCTTCTTTGCTTAAGCAAACAAGCAGCAACCATTGATCCAGTTATTTCTTTGGTATTTATAATATTTGGATCATCAGATAAACCATTTTTTCTTGTTCGTTGTTGATGTTGAATAGGTAAAATATGTAAATCTTCATTTGATGATGATCCTGGTGGAGAATCAACTTCAGTTAAAGCACAATTCCAAACAAATGTAAATGTTGATGATGCTGAATTTGTTGTTGCGGTTGTTGTTGATGATGATGTTGGTGATGGTGATGGAATATATGGTAAATGATCATTACTATTTGAACAAAATGATTTACGACGATATTTTAATACATCCGATAATTGTCGACATATAGATAAACGACGAAGAGGTGATACAAGAGGTGGTTGAGAACCAGCTGATGCTATTCCTTCGTTGGACATCGTAATTCAAACGAATGAATAAATGTAACGATGAATATTCTCTGCTATTTGTTCTTCTATTTTTTTGTGATAGACAATTCATGCACAATAGAGTTAAAGACAAAGAATAAACGATGCAATCTCTTATGTTTTTTCTCTTCACTTAGTTTTTTTGCAATAAATGAGAGTCTGTATGCCGGAGGGTGACAATCACTAGTCGAAGAAGAGATTTTGCGTACACACACCCATATATATATATATATATTTGATAGAGAGAGAAAAAGAAATTATATAACATCAACAGCCCAGTAAATGTGACAATGACGACACCAAAAATTATTGATAACAACTGAATTTTCTCTTTTTTTTAGTATTTCGACAGATTTCCCATATACATAATTAATATATTAGTCTGTTATATTCTGTTTTGGATTTAGTTTTCTTTTTCTTTTTCTTTTTTTTTACATAGACATCTTGATTAAATTTATAGAAATATTTTAAGCTTCAATGAACGACAGAAGCAATGCCGCATTAAGATTTCTTTAAAATTGCATCATACACATTGTATGTGTATGGACATTTCGAGAGTATGCAACAAGTGATTTTGAAGAGAAAGAAAGAAACAAAAGAGGTTTTAACGTTAATTAGGAAGAAAGGAGAAAAGAAACGAAAAAAAGAAATTACATAATCAAACGATGAGGTTTTTTTTGTATACCTGTAACGACAAGATCATCTAGCAGAAGATGTTTGACTGACTGGTCCAAGGACAATGGTAAACTAGGTGCACTTCGTAAACAAATATTACACGTTTCTATAGTGAGATGATGTTTTTCGAATAATTTTAATAAAATTTCTCTAAATAAATATATAAAAAAAAAAAAAAAATTTTTTTCTCCTTGTTAATTATTCTTTTTTGTTTTTCTTTGTTTACCTTAATGTCGTATTTTCAGATGTGTTAGAATAGTTAAGTCGTTCTTTAAAATTTTGACCATTTACATTAGTAAAATAGATGTACGATCCATCCTAAAAACGAGAAAACATAATAAGATATCAAAAATGCCAATTAGTCTCAAGGTCAAATGTCTCTCACATATCGACTATATTCAATTTGCATTAATATTTGCCCACCACATCAAGTGAAATCCTCTTTTCTTTCTATCAATTTTTTTTTGTCTACTCAAACAACCCATACATATATCTGTCATCTGTCCTTCCCGATAAGCATCTATTATCAAATAAATAACTCTCCGAATAAAAGTAAACCAAACTGAAGGTTTCATGTACAAGAAAAAAAAAAAGAAATTCTTATTCGACTTATCTGGTCTTTTCAAATAAAAAGATCCTTGATGTAATAATCTAACTTACTGTTGATGGTAAATTTTCTTCTGATAAAGCATGCTTTCGTTGATCGAGAAGATTTAAAAGTGTTGATTCATTATTTATTGGTGTAGGATTATTAATTCGACTTGAACCAATTGATGTTGCTAAATTAATCACTGAAACACTAAATTGTTTACCAACCATATTTGTCTATTTCAAAGAAAAGAGAAAAAAGAAAACGAAAAAAAAAAGTTTTTTTTTTTTTTTGAAAATAATAAGAAATGTATGAAAAAGAAAAAGAAAACTATTCTACTTCATTTGATCCCAAAGCAACATTTGATCGACGAGTCCGAAATACATTTACTAATAAATTTCGTGTCTTCTCTCTAGAACAAAAAGAAAAGTATATATATTTTTGTAAGAACGAGAAAAAAAAATTAATTTCTAAAAAAAAAAAAGAAATCATTTTCTTTTATTTTTGCAAACCTTCGTATTTGTACGTCTGTCAAAAATGCATAACGATTATCTACGATAAACGTCGTTGAATCATGCATAAGGTTTAATAAATAGATATTTATTCAATTAATACTAACAATGTCAATATTGAACTTTTATACCAGATTGAAAATCAGACATAATGGTAATTCATATACACATACATACATATATATATATATATGTTGTGTATACTAGTTCTCTTCTTTTTCCTTCTCTTCAATGTTCTCAAAATACTTCTTTTTTATCGTCAACATATGATGTGAGGTGTGAACAATCGTTATACAAATAGTAGAGCTTATTTGCTTAATGTGTCGATGTAGACGACAAAGTAAAGGAAGGAAAAAAAAACCTCGAGGAATGAAAGTAGAGATTAATTAAAATATGAATTCTTTGTATATCCGTTATCACAATCATATCAATATCGATAAGTAAACAACATTATATTAATATATAGGTTTTATTTGAGATAAAAAAAGAAAAAGAAAGAAAACAATAACAACTGTTCGAGTTTGATTAATTATCTTACCCTGAATGACGAGAATATTGTTGTGTTAATAGAAATTTTCCATTAGATATATTTTTAGAAGAATATTGTCGATTATTTTCAATAAATATATTATCTATTGAATCATATTTAATTAAATGAATTTTATCTTTAGATAAATTTTCATTTTGTTGAAATTGCTTTTTCACTTTTAATATTGTATCCCGAAACGACGAACGCACAAGCATGATCCTGACTATCACGTCGTCATCAAAATACTGCCTAATATTCAGTGTATATCAAATATCCTAGTCGTCCATTGTCTCCTTTCTCCTGTATGTGTGTCGCTTTTCTTTTTTTGGAAGAGAAAAAAAAATCAATCGAGGGAATGAAAATTCGCTATTTGCCAACGATACATATTGAATGTGTGAAAACCTCAATTTTAACAAGAAAAGAAAAAAAAAAGAGTCAAAGAACTTACTCAGGTGGATGCAAAAAAAGTTGGTTACTAGTATTTTCATTGGATGAATCGTTACTAATCATAGTATTTAAGTCGTTTAATTCACCTGTAGAAATTTCTAGAAAAAAAAATGAAATCTCAATTTTCAATGGATTTATGCTGAAACTCATTTTACCTTTATCAAGAGTCATTTCATGGTCGTATTCGTCTTTCTCTCCATCATTGCCATCTGAATCTATACGGACCTGAAACTGATAAAAATAAAGAGTATTATTAATATGAAATTACAGAAAATATGTGCTTAAAAAATATTCTTACTACCTGCATAAAACAAGGCATAAAGGCCTGAGATATAACAAACATCTTTTAAACTGTCTAGTGAATTACATGAATTCTTTTTGCTTATCCAACTAGACAAAAAAAAAGTCATAAACTCTCTTCTTAAATACCTACTCTCATTAGACATTCGATTTTGTTACTATAGGATTGTAAAATAAAATAAAAGAAAAAGAAAAAAGAACGAAAATGTCATTTATATTTCTTTCGATATAACATACTAAAATGTTTTCTTTCTAGATAATTTTTTTTTTCTTCGTATATTTCTTATTTTTATTTCATTTCTAATTTAATTAGAACAATACTAAAAATCGTATATCATTCTATTATTGTTGTTTTAATAAGAATTCTATTTTCTATTCGTTAGAAAACAGTGAAAAAGAAAAAGAAAAAGAAAATGTATAAAATACATAACTATACTTTATATTGATGAAATAGTCATCTTAGTAGACAAGGTTATGTAGATAAGAAAACTTCTTGTCTATGCGACACACGGCAGGTGATACAAATGACATTCCTCTTTTTCTTTTTCAAATGCTATTCCTAGTGTATTATTGATTTGTTTCTCTCTCTCTTCGATTACTGTTAATGATTGTTACCATGTGTAAATTAGTATATCAACTTGTGCGTCATTTCTAGTCAAGAAATAAGAATAATATACAAGAGAGAAAATAAAAACGAAGCAAAAAGGTGGAAGCCATATGACCATTAGATTTTGATTCAAAAATTTTGATTTCTTTTCATGACAGACAATTTAATTACTAATATGGGTTTTTTTTTTTTTGGTAAAAATTTATATGAAATGTTGAAGACTATCAATTTCAAATTTGAATGTGTAAATACGAGTTAAAATTTGTATTCTTAGTAATTCATATAATATTTTTTCATTTTTACTGTATTAATATGTATGTCTATAGATAGTTCTATCTTTATTATTGCTGTCGTTACTATAATTGAATTAAACGTCCATACCAATGACGGACGTGCCATATGATAGTTCGTCATGCAAAAATAAGTTATCGTCATACGAGAATCATATTTAAAAAAGAAGAGCAAAATAACTGATCGATAGTAAACGATAATGAGTCAAGTGTTTTGATGTTTTTGTTCGTAGGACAAGAGCAAAAGAAAAAAATATATAGTTTATCAAGTGCATCTTAAAATCGAAGTTCAATTTGCATATTTTTACAAAAAAAAAAAAAAAAAAAAATCTTCTTTTTTTTTCCTGTGCTCTCAATCTGAAAAGTGATATGACAAGCACCTTCACATAGTCTCAATGAGAAAAAGAAGCGGAACGGTCAAGTGTAGTGTCACCGTCTATAACATATATTTGTTGAAAAAAAAATCTTGAATATAAATTTCACTATTATCATCAATGCTTAGGAATTTATATGACTGCTCTCATATAACAGAAGAAAAGTCAAATATTATCAACAAGAATGACAGAACAATATTGTAAAGGCTAATCATCAACATCAGTATGAGTAGTAGACAGACAGTTCATGCTATCAAGCAATCGAATAGCACAAGAAAAAGAAGAAAAGAAAGGTCAGCGTCTATCAACTTGATTCTCATCTATACTTAAGTGTATATGTAATACGATGCAATGTCTGACACGATTGCGGTAAAAACTCATACACACACATGTATATATTCATTCTGACTTGACCATCAGTATTGACTATGTTTTATTCATATCATTAAATATTCAAAATGTCATTGACATCATTGTTCTTATTCTCACTGGTAATTGTAATTATAGATGCCAGGCATTATATATAGTTAACAATAACAAATCGATAGTGTCGGCGCTGATTATCATCTTTGTCTCGACGACAGTATATACGTATGTGTATGTAGTATGTATCAGGGTCAAACAATAATAAACTTTCTCTATTGAGACCAAGAGTATTAACACTTGACCTTCGTTGTTCTATGTATACATATGTTGATGTTAAAAGCACGCGTGCCGCTATGAGCAAACAATTTTTTTGACTAATGATAAGAAATGTCTTAGCCGACTTACTTACTTACTTACCTTTTCAGTTGATTGAGATGAATCATCATAAACTGTTGATTGTCGTTTATATGATTTATCATAAATATTCTCTTTACTATCATCATCAGATTCTGCTAGTGATATAGATGAATATGAAATTGATGATGATTGTTTAACACTACTAATTGATTGCTGTTGTTGTTGTTGTTGTTGTTGTTGTTCACGAGTAATACTATCAAGTAAAGTATGAGTCAATATAGATGAAAATGATGGACGATGTTGTATTTGTGTATTATCTAAACGACGTTTATTATCATAATGATCAAAATCGAAAAGACTTTGAAATAATGATGGTAAACTTCGACGTCTTTTTGTACGTGATAATATTTGTCCATTATCATGAAGTAATTTTGATGTTGCTAATGATGATAATGAAAAATTTTGTTTTGTTGTTGATATTTGTTGATTATCATCATCAGTATTATGAGTAATTGTATTATAAAAAGTTGATTTAGATAAACGTCGTTTACATACAGAACAACGATTCGAATGATTTTCATTTGTTATTGTTGTTGTTGTTATTCCTGTGTTAAGTTTCGAAACAAGAACACCAAATATTGATGGACGTTTTTTATATTTAGGAAGTAAATCTAAATTAGGATGATTTTGACAAGCTAAACATGGACGTTGTTGTTGTTCTGCTCTTGCCATTGTTATTTTCGATGTTGTATGATTCCCCGAACGAAAAGCAAGAGAATGCAGTAAACGTGAAAATGTCTCTTTTGACAGACTTGTTTTAGTAGTTGTTGGTGGTTTTGTGGATTTAGATGATGATTTATTTACTACTTCATTATGATTATTATTGTGGATTTCATCATCATCATCTTCTTCGTCATCATCATTATCATGTTTTTTTCCATCTAAATTTGTTGAAGAACCAAGTGCAAATGAAAAACTTCGTTGTTGATTGAGAGGTATTCCAATTTGATTGTTTGATTCTTTTTGTTTAAGTGACGATGTACGTAAAACAGATGTACGTTTTAATTCATTTTCTAAAACTTCATCAAATTCATCAAGTATAGCCACATGTCCATTATCATCATCATTTGATCTATGATTATTGTCATTATCATCATCGTCATTATCTACACAAATTTGTGGGATGGATACTGTTGTTGACAATTGTTGTTGTTGTTGTTGCTGTTGAATTCTACCACGAAATTTTCGCATTGTTGTAACAGCTAATGTTGGATCGATAATTAACAATTCAGCAGCTGACTGATGATTATTATGTGATTCTGTATAGCTCTGCTTATGGTGTTGTAAATACCGACGGGCTTTATTCGAACTTGTCATTACTTGATAAATACTTTCCGACCTGTAATAATGATCAAAGATTATCTTTTCTTTTGTGTCAGATGTCTTAGACAAAAAAATGTTCACTATCAGCAAAAGTAGTAATAAGGACAGAGAATGAATAAGAGTCGAAACTGTCTCGTGTGTTCTGTTCTCTTTTCATATGATGAAAGAGCAATGGCAAAAATTGAATATAAAGGAATAGAGAAAGAACGAAAGAAACCAAAAAGAACGAGAGTGCTCATCGAACAGAGAATAACGAGAGAGAGAGAGAGAGAAAAAAAATGATGACAGACTCAAAATTCCATTACATCAACTTCAATCGATGTTCTTTGAATACACAAAATATCTCTCATTTCTTTTGATTTATTTGAAAAAAAAAAAACTTCTTTTCTTATACAAAGAACAAGTATTCTCTGCTAAGAAATCAAACATTTATTTTATTTGCAGGCCAAACTTAAAATATTCTTTTATTATAGAAATTTAAGCATATACGTTTTTTTTGCATACAATCATTTACATTAATATAATAAAGTTATCTACATATTGAAATAGAATGAAAAAAAAAGAAAGAAATATATAAGATTGAAAGAAGCTGACAAAATCTTTGAAGTTCTTCCTTTTTTATCCTATCATTTCTAAAAAAAGATCTAATTGAAAAAAAAGAAAGACATTGATTATGCATGAAAAATGTTTTTTTTTTATTTGTACTTCTATTAGAATTTAATATGGAAACAAGTTTTAACAAAGCATAATCCTATGCTACTTTTAGGAATCTGTTTTCACATAATATTCAACTTACCGGTTTTCTCTGTTTTGCTCTTCTAATTATGACTTTATTTGATACTATATAGCTAAGACATGACAGCAAGTATGTTCTGGTGCTCGTTGTTTTGTAACTATCCGCTTTCATAGACTTCAGTAGAGTTTTTCTCCTGTCTATCTCGTTTTTTTCTCTATATGTCTGTCTCTCTCTCTCTCTCTCTCTCTCTCTTTGATTGTTTGTTCGATATGCGACACAATATCAGTAGGCCAAATATATAAGAGACCACCCGTTGTATGTTAATAGAGTAAAATAACAACTATAATAGAAGCAGTTTTACTTCTATTGTCGTTCTCTTTCGGGTTGCGTTCAATTACATGAAAAAAAAAAGAAAAGAAAAGAATAGTGATGACGAGAACAAAACTCTCGTGCACTCAGTAGGTGTATATGTTAATGGTGGTACCGTTCGAATATGAAAGGTTTCATACTCGTTCGTTTATTCTTCATCGTTTTATAACATCTTCTCTCACGTACGTAGATGGATTAGAGAATAGGAAGAAGAAAAGAACGGACGAAAGAAAAGAGTTCATTTTTATATCCAAGTGCCTGTAGTTTCGTCGTTTTTCTCTTTTAAGGTTTCAACAACAAATGTTACATGTTATTCATAGGCGTGTGCGAGAACATACACACTACTCACAGAACAATTGTATATGTATATACACATATGTTGGTAAGATCATGGACAAGCAGAAAAAAAAATTGTATAAAGAAAGAAACAAAACAAAATAAAAAGAAAAAAAAAAGTAACTTTGTTTGAATCATTCTATTATATGTGCACATTGGTCTCTTATCAGTGTCTGTCTCAGTTTTTTCTATTTCCATTGCAATAAATTATAGTAAATGTATTAGAATCAAATACAAGAAAATAAAAAATCTTTTGACTATTATTATTATTATTATTACTATCGAACTATTGTACGATAATATTAACTTGCAAAAATTAGGTTATAGAAAAAAGAAAATTTTTATCTCAGAAAGAGGAAGTTTTTAGTTTTGTGACGTGGAAAAAATTTAATTAAAGTACGAATTCAAAACAAAAACATGCAGAAAAATAAATACACTCAAAAAATGATTAAAGTACATCATGATAATTAAATGTCTAATCTAAATAATGAAATTACAATAGCTTTTTTTTTTGCATTTTTCGTTATTAAACTTATGATTGTTTGATGTTATCAATTTTATTTTGAAGTATAACTATCTTCTTCTTCTTTCGATGGATCAAACGTATATATATTAAGTTGAAGTGGAGCTTTGATTGTATTTTTATCAGACGATTAACAAATAATGCTTGAATAAGATATATGAAAAGCTCGTAGATATTTTTTGATAATCTTAACCAAAAAGAAAAAGAAAGATTGTATTTTATATTCATGATATATATATATTTAATATTTTATCAAATATTGAATTAACTTCATTATTACGGACAAGAATAAATCTATTTATTTTTTGTATGTCCGTTTATTTTATTAGATCTATGATTAACGAACATCGTATTCAAGACACTATTTTGATTGTAATAGTTTCGATAGGAGGACTTTCTATGAATGAAACCGAGATTTTAAAACATCATTTGCCTTGCAGAAAGTGAAATAAAAATAAGCAGACAATATCGTTGCGAGGTAAATAGGATTGGAGCAGAGATGATCTAGTCACTACTTCTAGCACTCCGAGAATAAAAGCATTTTCTGCAATCATTTTTATCTCCCTGCAAAAATATCAACAGTCATGGGTGTAAGGAAATATATAGAAAATTTCAACTAACAAGATATTAGTTTTTGGTATAATACTAATATTCTAACATAGTTTATACACAAGTCAAGAATTGAAAAAAAAAACGAAAGAATAGTGGCATGTTTTTTTGTCTTCAGTTTAGCAGCCGTAGAAGACAACCTATCGAAATATTTCATTACATTTATAAGCTTTATTATTCAATAGGATTTATTTTAACTTGTTGAGTGTGAATCGTCTTTCCACCTATACCCTATTTATTCTTTCAGAAGCCAACCAAATTTTTTAATAATTCGATACAAGAATATTCGACTAAAAGTATATGTTAAAACAGCATGCATACATTCTAAAGTGATGATTAAATAAAAGAAAAAGAAAAGATAAATCAGTTTAACAAGCAATTGTTATTCTACCTGGTAGAACTATTAATCAGTATGAAAGTTTATTCGAATTAATCAGTTTTATCTATCATTTAGTATTGAATAGAAATAAACGAATGCTCAACTTGAGAAAAAAAACATAGGAAACAGATTGTCATATAAGACTTTAAAAATCTCGAAATGTAATCTACACTGTTGTTATCGACGAAGTACAGTCAGGATTTATTGACAATTAATTAACTGTGTTAATATTTCAGTGTACCTAAACTGCAGGCATACATACATATACTAAGGACTTATTGACAAATCCTCCTCCCCAAAATAAGTCCCTCTAGCTGCTGATTGTCACAACATCGATCGATAATGTTTTTTGCTTTCTTCATTACAAAAAGGATCGATACATCAACGACGTTTACAAAATCTATAAGAGGTTTTGAATACATTGTAATCTTTCGACAATAAATTAATATTCTCTACAGCATATAATCCTAACTAAAATAACAATTTTAAAATATTAGTGAAACTTGTTTTTTTCATTTCGGCTAAAAATCCGAAATAATTCTTTACATTTACGAAGTAAGATTCATAGTTTTATTATTTTTTTATGCAATTCTATATCATGATTTTACTGTAATTCAAAAATCCAGACAGTTGTAAAATATTTAAAACTCAGATTTACCTTCTGAATTTGTCCCTGATGACTCGAAACATACTCTAATTCAATACTATTCCATCAGAACAAAAAAAAACGTCTATACACACAAAAGATTAATCATTTTATTTATTTTGTCAATTTACCTCATTAATTTTAATGCATAAAAGAGAAGAATTTTTCATAAACACTTCAGATTAGAATTCCAAAAATATTCATATAAAGAGAATTTGTAGTTTAAATATAATTCTTCTATTAATAAATACATCATTAGTCTCGTGCTTTCTTTTATATAAATGATGCTAATCACAAGAGAAAAACAGGATTGTTATGTTACGCCATCTTCTTTCCTTTTCATTCTAAATAGAATTTCAACAAAGATTATATTTCTATCATAGAAAACAAGTCTAATTTTTCATATTATTCATTCGCATTCCTTTTTGAGATTATCTTTTTTTGTTCTAGAATATATATTTATTCAGAATAGATAATTCATTTTAATAATCTTTTCTTATACAATATAAGCTTGTTCGAACAAAGAAAAAAAAACACAAGAAGGAAGATATGTTTTAGGAATAATTTCAGATTACAATTACAATACACGTAGAGCTGCTTAGCAGCTTACAAATTATTAATGAGGAAAAGAAAATCAAGTATGTCTGACAGGTATACTACGAAAAAATATACAATTGAATAATACAAGAAAAAAAATATATATGTATAGTTGACTCTTTATTTCTTTGGACTAGCATTTCGTGCATCAGGAAAATGTTCATGATATCGATTAAGACGGATATATTTAACATTTATTGTTCGATCTTAAAAATACAAAAAAAAAACAAGAATTAATAGATGATCAGTAAGTTTTTACACAAGATATTTATTCACTTTTGACTTGCCAGAAAGTATCAAAAGCTATGAGTTAGTTTTTCACTCGTCAATGGAGTCTGTCAGGTTGATCCCGAGCCCAAAATTTTCGTCCTGATAGGCTCTAGCCGTCTGAGAAATCGTATAGGATGCGCATGTCACGCAATACAAAAAAGTATCTCGTTTCTTCGGAACGGCTATCCAATTCTGATTCCAAAATTTCATTAGCAGTATCAAAGTACAGTTCGAAAAAGTTTGATGAATCGAGTTCAGAATTCCGAAATTTTGAGTCTGATGGTCTGTACTCGTCGGAAATACTTTCTAGCAACTCAAAAATGAATAAATACCTTGTATAAAAACTTCCCGATTATCTGTTATTTAATCCAAAATTGTTTTGAATTACTTACTTTCATATTTCCAATTATTAAGTAAATCATAAGCTTTACCAGCTGCTTCTTTTGATGAAAATTTTAAATAAACAAAAACCTAAACAAAATAAATTTTATTATAAATATTTGATATTCCTTTTTCTTACCGAATGAATTCCAATATGTTCAATTCGTTCAATACTAGCACATCGATTTCGAATACTTTCGATAACATGATCAATTTCTTCATCATCAGCATAACTAAAAAGCAATTAAAGATTTCAATTATTAATATTCAAAAAAACAAAATATTAATTACATACTTATCCGAACGAAAGCAATTACGTAATTTAAGACATTCCGTAAGACCTACTTCAGATGTCATAAAACCATTACTTTCTTCATTTGAACTCTTTAAAGGTTCCTATTACCAACGAACAAAAACAAAATTTTTAATTTTTTATAACAAATACTTCCTTTGGTTTTTTTTTTTCGTCATACCGATTTATTCTTTTTTGGTGATGATTTTAACCATCGCCAAACATCAGAACTTTCACCATTGATTTCTTGTGTTTCAGAACTGATTCGTGAATATTCTTTAGTTATTTGCTTTTTAACACGTTCCCAAATATTTTTCAATTTATCTCTATTATATATTAAATTAAATATAAGAATAAAATACAAAATCAAAATACTAACTGATCTTCTTTTGAAATAAGTTTCTCACGAATATGACTGATAGCAAGCCATGGTTGTGCATTAGGATCTTGAATATGTTTTTCATATTGTTCTTCAACTAATTTTTTTGCTTTTTCAAGAAGATTATGATATGTTCTTTCATTTTCTTCATGTGTTTTTGATTGTTTTTGAAGATACCAAGCTAATGTTAAAAGGCCAGTGGATCCTTAAAGAGAAAAACAAAAAAAGAAACTTTTCCAAAATCAAAAATCAGTGAAAAACTACAATACATACCTAAGATAAGTAAAATTAAATTTCTGAATGTTTTACTAGCATCTTGTCGAACACGACATGTTAATGCACGTAATGCTTCCGGTGTACTTAATTTTTTTGCTGCAGCAATATTTTTCGTTTCTTGATTTCTTTCATTCCATACTCTAAATATTCATAAATTAATGCAATCGAAGTTAGAAGAGATGATACAAAAGAATCAAGAATATTTAACGTTCTGGAATTTTGTTTGTCTTTCAGTTCTATATATTCCACGAGAATTATTCTATTCTTTCTAAACTACTTAATAAATGGCACGCAATTGAAAATTCGTATACGGATGAAAAAACCATATCGCCTTACGTAGAAAAAAAAAACGATTTAAGAATTTTTTTTAAAGCGAAAATCAAAGGATATTTCGAATTCCAAATATCATTGAAAACAAATGGATAATTATCATATATACGCGAATATTTTTTTATTCGTTATCCACAAAAAGAACTCTTAAAATTTATTTCTTCATAAAGAATCAGAAAATAATCTTTACAAAAACCATCTATAGAACGAATAAAAAAATAACTAATTCCATAGTTTTATAATTTAATAAATAAATACTTCATTTTAAAGATAAACTTACAATATGTCTTTTAATGGCTTATCAAGGATATAGGTAACTAATGCCTTCCATCGTTCTTCATTACCCAAATTAAATTTCAATCCCTAAATATACAAATTTTCAATATATATTTATATAACCAAAAACTTTCCTTACTTTTTCATTTAAATATCTCTCAATTTCAGGTCGTGTAACCAAAATATCAGTTTTATTACGAAAACCACAATCGACTTCACCTATAAAATAAAATTATATAGATGAAAAAATTGTTTTTGGTTTTCTCTTAATTATTACCAGTTCGAATTTGTAATTGTTTTCGTACTGCAGTAATTACTGGTGCCATCTCTTCACATTGAGTCTAAAGTACCAAAAAAAAATAATCAAAAACAAAATAAATTAAGAGAATACTTACTGCATTTTTAACCGAACAATTGATTGCTATAAAAAATTATAATTTAAAACAAATTTCAAATCAACCATTAATAAATTTACCTTTGTTAGGTATGAAGAATTCATCATAATTTCGTAATAGGAAAATAGCTGCACCAATAAGAAGGGAACTAACAATTAAAAATTTGAAAATATTTTTAATTAGATCTAAATTTTTTCCCCAAAATGATTGAATTGGTCTTCGTATATGTTTAAATGATGGTGATTTTTTTTGTTCATCCTTATCAGATTTTGGTGATCGTTTAACTTTATCAGTTTTATCTTCATCATCATCATCATCATCATCATTGATTTTTAATGGTTGTTGATGTGTACGTGATTTTGAACTTGAACGAATTGGTGTTCCTTTTCGTTCTTGCTGTTCAACCGAATGTGAAGAAATACTTGTATCAGTAGCACGATTTCGATCACGTGCTGAATCAAGTAATTGTTTAATTTCACGACGATGACGAGCAACTAAAAGAATTCATTATGAATATTAGAGAAATAAAGAACAATATACTTGATTGTTCAACATCATCAGTTATATTTGCTGAAGCCCCTGTATCACTTATTGATGATATTGTAGTTGGTGAATCCGTTTGACGACGTAGTGCAATTGAACGTGTTTGAAGATTAGGTGTTGTTTGTCCAGCACGAAGTGATCTTGACATAAGAACACCAGTTGATGAATCTGTTTCTGAATCACTTAATTCAATAAGATTAGATGGTTGTTGTGATCGTGTTGTTCGACGTGATTCTCCTGTAGGAGTTGTTGCACTTGTACGAGTACGTGATGGTGAACTCGTAGCAAGTGAATGTGATGGTGAAGCTGTAGCACGTGTTGTACGTGATGGAGAAGCAGCAACTTGAGTTCGTGATGGCGAAGCAGAAACAGCAGCAGCACTAGTACGTGTTGTACGGGATGGTGATGCAGCAGCTTGAGATCGCGATGGTGAAGCAGTTGTTTGAGAACGTGATGGTGAAGCATGAGAACGTGTTCGTGTTTGTGAACGAAGTATTTCAAGTCGAGCACGAAGTTGTTCACGATTACGTTGAGTAATCGGTGGAACAGTTTCACCATAATTTATTAATTCTTGTCGTAATTGTTGATCAGTAAGAGTCATTTTGATTCTCTCAATTTGTATACAGAGCGATCTGTTATGTAAATGAAATACGCTTGTCTAAATGAAATAGAAAATACAAACGTTAAAAATAGATAAATAGATCTTTGTTTAAATATAGCAATAAAAGATATATGGAGAAGAATGAATTGCCTTGATTGAACGAACAATGACAGGTCAAGATAAGCCATAGATGATCGCCAGCGCTACTATCAATATTATTTACGTTGATAGTAGCGATCAGAAATACAAAAAAAAATGTATTCCGCCTATAGTTGAATTTAACCAGTTGTTTAATTTTTTACACTCCAAAAATACAAATATGATTCGTAAAAAAAGAAGAAATTTATTTAATTTTAAATAAATTAAAAGTATAAGTTTTATTTTAAAATCTTTTTTTTTTATATAAAAGATGTCGCACATTGATATAGAATCACCATGGCAAGTAATGAACATTCTTCTTCTTTTTTTTTTGTTTAAAATAATTTATTTTTGCTTTATTCTCTATAATCAAATACTTGATATTTTTCGATAAAGAATGAAAAGCAATCAAAAAAAAAACTAATTATTTTCAAGTGTTTAGTCATTCTATCTACTTCATAAGACAATATAATTTTTATTTTTAGGAATAAAACAAAAAAAAAAGAAATCATCTATATTGTCTATTTAAAAAACAACAGATATTTCGTGATAGATAATTTTTCGCCACTGTAAAATAAATGAAATTGATTTATATTATCTTGTTTGTACGAATTTACATAGAATAGTTGATAAAATATTAAATTTTAAACAAATGATTATCTCAACTATGTTGAGCAGATTTCACAAAAAAAAGAATTTTTTTTTTATTCTTTCTTTGTTGCAAGAACAATATTTGCGAGAGAAATTTCATTGTCAAAAGCATATATCTAACATAATGCACACTCGATCGATCGAAAGTTTACATATGGCTCGTTTGGTGAATATGCAAACAAGGTATTGCTTCTTTCACAATACTTGCTTGTCGTCGTCATTTCATGATTAGACATACATTCATACATTTTCTGAAAATGAAAAAAAAAGTCATTGTCTTAAACAAACAATTCGAGTGAAAGAGAGAGAGAGAAGTCGTTGTATGTCAAACAAACTTTTCTTGCTTTCAACCATGTCCAATATATATTGATGTAGTCATTCTCAATCTTGAATTTATAAAAGTGGAAATCATACTAGAGAGAAAGAGAAACATACTAACCGCAGTGATGAACATTGTTCAATATATCAGCTGGTTAGATGCACGAAGAGACTAATATGATTCTCTCACTTTCTTTTTTTGTCTCTCCTTTCTCGTTTCTTTTTACATACTTTCTTTCACTCGTCGTGTGTCAAACACACTCATTTTTAATGGAATTTCAAAATGCATCGTACATTGTGAGAGTAAGAGAGAGAGAGAGAGCGAGACGGCGCTGCGCACACACACACACTTTAACGAACATTTTCATAATTCTCTCTCATTTTTTTTTTCTTTGTGCGACTACTGCAACAACTATTCTCTCTTTCATTCAACACAACGGTCGACTAACCGTCTTTCAAAATACACAGACACACCGGCAAAGATATAGAAGAAAAGTATGCTAGTTATTCATAGTATCTATCATGTTATTTAAGTAAGTTTAGTTCATTATTTTACAATTGATCACACTATAATTTTCATTTATGATTTGAAAAGTAATATAAGAGAAAGTGAGAAATATAAGAATGAAGTCTTTTTAATTTCTTCTTTAAAAAATATTTTAACTAGATGAATAAAACTTTAATATTTATAAGAAATATTTTGTTTAATCACTACATATTCTTTAACCGTTTTTCTCTTTTTTTTTTTTTGTCTTTTGTTTTTTTGAACACATGAATAGAAATGTGTATTCACAAAATCTAATTGTCACTATAAAAATAAAGAATTAACAGAAAGAACAACGAATTCATTTCACACTCACTTACATTGCTTCCAGCTCATGTGTTGATGTCAATTTCCTTCATTTTTACTTACTTCTCTTTTACACCGGATAGATAAGTAGACGATGACGGTACAGACTTTCTCACTATGCCAGTTTACCGCGATAGTAGTTATGATGGCAACAAAGCGGAAACTCGTACGTTTTTTTTTCTCTTCTTATACACCTATATATACACGCACGTTTCTTTCTCTCATTTCACGTCTGTCATTTCAAATCATGAGCCGAAACGCTTGATGCCGTGCGTATATTTAGCAAAAAAAAAAGTGTATGCTACTCGAAGTAGTAGTTATGAGTGAATAAGAAAGGCAAAAAGGAAGTTGTTACGGTGGAAATGAAAGAAAACACTTATCGATGAAATCATACGGACACAAATCGGTGCGAGACATGATGGACATTGCACCTTTAGAAAACAAAAGAACGTCATTTTGAATTTTTTTGGAAACGAAAGAAGAAAAAAAAAAATTCTTTACTCTTAAAACTTTTACTGTATGTGTTGTTCACTTAGTTGCATTTAATCACTTTTTGCTCGTCGTCACACTTGAAGAGAGAAGAGCTCTTACTTCGTTTTCTTCCTCCGCCTTCTCTCAGGAAAAGAAAGTAAAGAGAAAAATAAAAAGAAAAAAAGAAAAGGTATTCTTACAAACACACAGTTAAGAGACAGAGAGATCCACACTTGAACATTAATGGGATGGTAATGATGATGACAATAGAAACGAAAATAGTCAATTGACTAGTAGTAGAAACACAAAAATCTATGAAAGTAAAAAATGTGACACTATTTAATAATGCATATATGTAAGACAAATAAAAAAAGAAATCTATGATGACAGGACAGGTGGAAATCGATAGAAGACACACGGATTGTATGTCTACCGTTCAGTTTACTTTTATTTCGATTGACTATTTAACCATCCGTAAATTTGACAAGTGTGTCAACTCATTAGAAATAGCAGAAGTCAGGTAGACAAAAAAAAAAAAATAACAGTCAAGCCAAGTGCCCGAATATCTTGTTATTAGAATTTAGAACATACATCTATACACACACACACCTGGACAGAGAGAGAAAGACACACTTTCTCCTTCTTTCTCACTCACTCCACTCTCTCTCTCTCTCTCTCTCTCTCTCTTTCTACTTCTCTCTTTCTTTTCTTTTTTCTTTTATTTTCTCTCTTTAAATCAACATCTCATTTTGTTGCTACTACCTTTACTTTTTCTTACTCGCACATTTTAACATTCATTCGTCCAAGTTTACACACATACATACACCGTTCATTATTAAGATGTATCTTTACTGAGCGGTTGATTTACACGATTCCGCTTAGTATCGTTGCATCTTCAACAATCTGATTCGGTATTATCATCTAATCATTATATATGTGTAACAATTATCTCACCTAAGATATCTATATATATATATATACTATTGAATGTTAAGATGAGTGTTCTTATGAAGACACATTCATTTCAAAAGACATCGCAGCTTGAAATAGCAAGATCAGCATGTCTCCCATGGAGAAGATTAAAAATAAATCTTTAGTATTTTGAGTTTTTGTTTCATGGAAAAATAAAATGTAATGTAGCATACTTGTTGCTTACATCCATGAAAAGACTCTAGTTTTAGAACTAATAAATTTTTCATATAGGATTACTTAGTAAATGATCATATCTGTATTGATTGAATCTATAAGTAAGTATTTAATATTCAAAATACAAAATTCTTTTTTTCTTTTTTGCTTCCAATCCATATGGAATATCATATTTTAGACAAAAGGAAAAGAAAAACATAAAAATTCAATTGCACAAAGGTAATAATTATTTCTTTCTTATATTGGATAAATCTATATATATATGCATACATGATGCAATACATTTGACAATTTTCTTTTTAATTTATGTGAATTGATTGGCATCTTTGACAAACATTATATTCAAGTGTCTTTTTTTTTTTCATAAAAATGTAAATAAATATAGTGCAAAAGAAAAAAAAGACTATGGCTGCATCAGATGCAAATAACAAGAAAAAATAATTCGCGATACAGTATATCTATCATTCGGAAATTAATATCTTAATCTTTTTTGTCGATTATAGGAAATTTCATTCCCTTTAAAACTCATATAAGATATTTAGTTAACAAACTTATTGGGATAGCAATATGAACAGAATTAAATCATGTTTTATTCATCTAGTGTCTCGTTTAGGATTAAATTAAATTCTATGATAAAGTAAATTTATTGAATTTAATTAACATTGTTCTCAAGAGTGCTATTAAAACTTTTTATTTCTTTTTTTTTTATATTGTTATATTGACTTTTAAAAATCATGTAGAGATTGTTTGAATTCGAATGCTTTTATTCTTTATTAGGACTGTATTCCTATTATAAATAATTAATTGTTAAAAATTGTAATTAAAGAAGAATGCATCATAACAAAATTCTCTGTATATCCAATGATCAATAAAATGTTTTAAAAAATGTACAGATATTTCTAATAAATATTCAAATAGTTGAATACAATAATTTATAACTAAGTAATTTTTTCGACATATGTTGATTATAAAAGCAAAAAAAAAGCAAAAAAAAGAAATTGTATTGTAGATGAATTTATACATATCATATATTGTAATTAACAGTTAAAGGTAGGTTTCTTTTACATTAGTATGATTATATTTACTTTACTTTTTCTTCAATCAGATAATTAAAGAGAAAGTTCATTTAACTTGAATGATTTTATTGAATAATTTATAAGATACTACATAGAACGAATGAAACCAAGTTTAATGAATGATAGAAACATTTTTCAATTTATGGATGCGACAGTAAAAATGAATGTAAATAGAATGATAAGAACAGATTTAATATCCGGAATAGTCTACAATGCAAAAATAATTGCCAAAATCTTGACCCGTAGTTTTTCACTAAGGTATCTTGTAGAAAATTAATTCTGTTTCCAGTTGAAAGAGCAATGTCTGAACTTCAAAAAACATAAGAGAAAAAATTTTTGAAATCAACTATGAGTGAGAAAAAGAAACCTCAATATCAAACATTGTCAAAAGAACTTTTACTCTTTCAGAAAATGTGTTTTAGAAAAAGGAAAGGAATTCATGAAGAGAGAAGAACTCGTAAAGAGGGCCAAAAAATTGAGGCACGAGTCAAAATTTAAATTTTTTTATTTTTTATATGCATTCGAAAGATCATCATCTAAAACCAGAAAAATTCAAATTTGCTAGCTTATTTCGATGTTGTATAGTAAAGTTAGTCTTGATTGACTTTTCAACACTAGCTATCTACTATCAAGAAAATAGTGATTAATTATCTCATAAATATCTACTACGATTATACTTCCACAAGTGAGAGAATTTTTTCATGCTATGCATCAAAAGAAAGATCATCAACAGCTGACAATTAAAATATTGAATATAATTTATTTATTGAGCCAACATGAGTAGAAAAGGTCATAATTTAGCAGTGTATAATATCTGTTTGTTGGCAGTATATCTATTACCATTTTTTCGAAACAGAACGCCACCAAACTGAATTTTTGATGTGTTATGCAAATTTTGATTCTTTACATAGTAGTAAACATATATCGAAAAGCAAAGTATACCGTTCAATACAATATGAAGCTTATATTATCAATGGACAGATAAACGACTTCAAGGAAAGTGATGTTAGACACTTTTCAGTGTCCTTCATTGATGAGAATTTTCATCTCGGAGACATTAGGATTTAATCTTGGCTTGAATTATATAGATAGTTCTTTCGACAAATAACAAAAAAATTTCGACCACCTACATCCCTGTGGGGGGAGGGACTACGGGAACTTCGAAAAAAGAATTTTTCTAACAAAATCGGATAATAATCGTCCATATCAGTAAAGCATGGGATTCTGATCACAGCCATAAGATCGAAATTCATTATCAACTGTTATTTAGTAGTATATAGAGCACACTTTTAATGGAGAATTAGAGAGTCTGGCAAATGTATCACATCGAGAGATCAACTCCCATACCACTAATAATGAATTTCAATCATATGGCTGTGGTTAGAGTCCCATGCTTTATCGATATGAATGATTATTATCCGATTTTGTTAGAAAAATTCTTTTTTCGAAGTTCCTATGATCTTCTCTCGAGGATGTAGGGAGTCAAAATTTTTGTTTTTTCGAAAGAACTGTCTATATAATTCTAACCAGGGTGAAGCTTTGATTTCTCTGAGATGAAAATATTCAGGAATGAAAGACATTGAAAAGTGTCTGACATCGTTTTCCTTGAATTTGTTTATCTGTTCATTCAACGTAGTGAATTACCTATGTCTAGATGCTTTTTTAGGTAGCCACAGATCAATTGGCTGAAACCGAAGGTCTCAAGAGAGCCCTAATAGTTCTTGAATGAAACAAGCTAGCAATGGCAGTCTTCCGTAGATTGAAAGGGAACAACTTTTCCTATCTACTGATCAAATCAATAATCAAGGTCAACTGAAAAATAGGTTCACAGTATCGTTTTTAAAATGTCCACCAAGAACTAATCTGATTAGTTCAGTATTATATTCTTATCTAGAGTTATTCAAAAAATACTCATGGTTCTTCTTTTTGAAATAAGTAATAATTCTGAATTTTTGTCTTCATTTCTGACGAAATGATAAGAAAACTTACGTTGAAGATTCTGTTGTTAATGATTCTGTAATCATTCTGAACAGACAAATAATATTTTTTATGTCTATATAAATAATTGAAATGAGTCTTACTTATTAGTAGTTATTTCTACTCCAGGACATGTTCTCAAAGTTTCGTTACCCACGGTGAAGTTAAGACAATATTGATTCGTTTGTACACTTTGACTATTAAAACAAACAAATGATATATATGCAATGAATTTTTCAACAAAAAATTTTATTTAACTATTCAATACCAACTGAAAAAAGTGTTCCTGAGCCAACTTCGTTTGCTGTTGGTGTCTATGTAAGAGTTACTAATCATAAAGTGCTCGTATTTTGAATAATTGGCGATTTTATAACAATCGAAAATGATTGAGTAGCTATTTCTATCATCTTAACGTCATAACTAGAACAGTAGTTTTCTGCAATCAACTCCAGCGTGTATGATATTTCAACTTGTTCGTCAGTGCATGTATCCTCGAGAGTTGGACCATGCGAATAGAGTCGCTGAGTGCAATTAGGTTGAACATAGATATGGATAAAGAACTGTGCTATAATATGTTGTAGTTGTCGAATGTGCAAAATCATCAGCCTAATATATTTGAAATAGAACTATGTCAAAATATGATAATGTTCATATCTTTCAACCAGAAGAGCTTATTAATTATAAATTTTAAAAATTATTTATTCAAAAAGAATAAAATTCGCTTCGATATATATTTTTTGAAACAAAAGGGAAAGAAACTCTTACATCGGTATTCAATTTCTAATTTTCAAAAAGAAATTGAAATAATGCATTTCATATGAAATACCTGAATAGTAATAGCATGCCAATCACTCTATTGAGTACCTATGATAGTAAATGTACAATTATATGAAATAGTTGTACTATTTGGTAGTGAATTTGGTGGACAAACACTACCACCACTAGCAAAATGACATCGAACTTCATCATAATCAGCATCAATTGTTGGTATTGATATTGTTTGTTGAACATCAACAGCAATATAAATAGGAGAGATCATAGTAGCCAACGGTCGGCTGCTGTATCTACTATCAAATCATATACGTAAATCGATCAGAGTTGACATACTTCAATTTTGGTTTGATCCATCGCCACCTTGGTAAACTAAGAGTACGAAAAGCATTTCCTTTATAAGCAACAGTAAAGTATCGTCAGTTCGTTGTCCAATCGTTATTGATATTCTAGCTGAATAATCAGTACTTTCGACGCAATGGATATCGGTGTATAACCCTCACATGTTGAACAATTAGCAATACAAATAAGCATTGCTGTTGCATTTCCAAAAGGAGAAAACATCAAACTCTGCTGATTAGCAATATAAGTATTGTTACAATAGATTATCGGATAGATATAAGTATATATTTGTGTAAAGCAAATAATTAATTGTTATCCATTAGTACCTATGACTTTGTAACTGACAGTTCCACCTTGAAAATGGGATCCATGAATAGGAAACATGGTTATAAATAGTATCAATAAAGTTAAGATTCAATTGATTATGCATATTCTATGTAGTTTCATCTATTGAATGTTGTATGTATTTTTAATAGAAATCTATTTTACATGCAATCGAATAAGTAATGATTTTTTTTCAATTTCAATGAGTGGTTAGTTATTTAAAAAATCAATTATCATGACGAAGAATATACAGATGGAAAATGATAAAACTATTTAATGATGTATTGAATCTGTACTTAATACACTTGCATACTTGAAGAATTTCGTCCTTTATCTTGAACTCTTACCTTTGATTACAATCAATTATTTACAATGATCTAGTGAAACTACTAGAAACATGTTACGCAATAAGAAGCAAAAAAAGAAGTTGTATTAAACATTTGTTGATTATAGTAGATTAAGTCTGCATCAGAGATAAAACATATTTTGTCTCGCAATTGAAACTTGCCCATTCGTAATAATTGATTTATCTATTTTTTTTTAGATTACAACCTTTAAAGTCGTTTCATTTTTATAGTAATAAACATATACGGTCTTTTACAAAGAAATATTAATAACGATTCTCATACAAAATAGGATAAACGACTGAATATAAAACAAAGACTTTATAATAGATGGTTTTTATTATGAATGTATTCATTATCTGGGAATTTGATGCGAATAATGTACGTCTTAAATTTATCAGTTTTTAACATTGAGTTAGTCTATTTATCAAATATCTAATTCACCTTAATATTAGATATTTTTTAAAGTCCTGAATCCGACTCCAAAAATCCTATTTCATTCTTTTCTTATATAGCACTTATTATTAACAATTGTAATGTCTAGTAAACGACAACTGGCAATCCAATAACCAAATAACATGAAACAGAAAAACAAAAGAAAGTATCTAGACTAGATTGATTTTCACAAGTGATTATTGCGAAAAAATGAAGCCACTGTATATGCCAGTAAAAAAAAATTCTAGAGTCGAAAAAATTTGACTTTGCAAGGTTCTAATGTTTTCTATTCATTGATGTTTAACTTTAATTGAAGCCTAGTTTGCCTTATCAAGCTCCAACTAAAAAGAAGAAAGAATGTTTAGTTTATTTGAGCAGTCAATGTTTGTCTTCGAATTGAACCAAACTCATAGATGATATGCCAACTATGAATATATTATACTATGAAGTTTTGTTCAATTATGTTCCATCCAAAAACAATGAATAACTTTATAGCTTATGTATTCCCAGTGGTAGAATAATGAATATCTTCTCTCAAAATATACTGCTCAAAAAATTAATATGTTGATTTGTTTGTTCATAAAAATATTTTCGAATATTATTTACTGATGTCGATGCAGAAGAAATCATTTGTGCATACATGAGAATATGAATAAATGGAAATCAATATTCTGTCTACTTACATGTTATGTTCTCTTAAAAGAAATGAAAATTATTTCGTAGTTTTGTGTCTAATTAAAAATGAAATCTGTTTAATGAGGGAAGTCCTCCAACTGATAAATTGCTTTCGAATCGAGACTATTTTCATTATGTAGACTCAAAGAAGCGGTGAAAATCGCGAAAAGAATTTGTGTCTTTAGTTTATTGCCGCGCAGATACTGCATTTTTAAGATATTTTTTAAATGAATGTCATGGTCCAGAAAAAACTGATTTTCGAATTTCAACTTGAAAATTTGCATAAAGATAGTCCTAAACGAGAATAGTTTCTTGTGAATGGTTCAGATCTTGTCGCTATTCCTATCCCAAGATACAACTATGCTAAGAGCATATCGTTTACACCGCTCATATAAACCGGTAGATTTGATGTTCTTATTTCAGGATAGAAACAAATCAAAAGATCTGAAACTACTCTCGTTAATACTTGTCTCTCTGCAATGTTTCAAGCCGAAATACAAAAATCAGTTTTTCTGAATCACGGCATTCATTTCAAACATTCCATAAAAGTGCAGTATCTCTGCAATAATAAGCCAAAGATACGAAGTCTTTGTAGGGTATTCATAACTCATTTAGCTCTACATTATGAACATAGTCTCGATTCAAAAGTGATTTATCAGTTAGAGAGCTTCCTAGAAGGATACTTATATAAAATATAAATTGCATTTTCTCATCATATCATTTGTCGCTAAATTAAACTCTAGAAGATTCACATTGTTTTCTATCAACGAAACTTTTGACTTTATTCAAATAAAATTTATACTGTGTAGGATATCTATTGAGTAAATTGACAAATATTTTCTGAATATATTCATTTAATCAGTTCTTTCTCATTAAATATTTTAGTCGAACATTTACTATACATCTTGTCAAAGAATAACAATCTATTCAACCATCAAGAACAGAATCACATAAATCATTGATGTTCCAAAATTGTAAAAAAAGAAAATTCTTCTTAGCTGAACTTGACATTCTTTCAAATCATATCGATCTCTTTTAACTTATTTACATTCTTGTTATTGATACTATTAATAATATTTTTTTTAAAATATTTAATTGATTCTGTGATTCTAAACAATCTTTCTCTTCATACTCGGTAATCAATTTTATATCTTTTTATACTGATTTATAGTTTCGAAATTTTTATTATATTCTTTCTTTTATCTACTACCTGAACAGTATACAATGATTTATATCATGAATCTGATCAAGTTAGTAGTAAAATAAACTTTCATTTTCATTGCCACGCTATATTTAATCGAAATAAGAACAAATATCGAACAAAAATGACACATATCAATGATACGATTTAAAAACCTAATGGATGAACAGGTACAGTTGATTCTTTATCAACCATTTCTCGAGCTAATTGTGCCATTAATTTTGTTCTTGCAATAAATTCAGGATTTTGAATAAGATTAATATTATTATTAATTCTATCATATGCTTCTTCACACCATATTCGAACTAAATTTGATTCATGTATAGCTGTAGGTACTTGATTTTTAAATGAATGTGTACAACGTGATAAACTAGCTGCCATTGTAAATAAATCAATTGTAATATCACCAATACGATGAACAATAAATTGTTCATCACGTATTGTTTTACCATATTTTATAAGAATTTGTTCTATTGTTGAACCAAAACGATTAATTGATTTTGATAAAAGTAAACCAGATGGATGAAGTGATGAATGTATATATTCATTTACATTTGGACCTGTTGACATACCAATATTTCGACGTAAACGTTTTGAACCTTCGCCAACAATAGCATTTAAATTAAAACTTTTAACAGCATTTTGTAATTCACGTAAATGTGAACCAACATATTGTAAACCAGTAAAAGCAACAAATAAACGTAGAATATCATTTGCACCTTCGAATATACGAAAGACGCGTAAATCACGTAAAACGCGTTCAAGACCAGAACTTCTCATAAAACCCATTCCACCATGAATTTGTATTGCTTCATCAAGTACATACCATGCTGATTCAGATGCAAAAATTTTTCCAATAGCTGCTTCACCTACAATTTAAAATATGAATTTACTAAAACAAAAAAAAAATAAGCAAAAACAAAAAATTTTCATTACATTGATATTCAAGTATTCCACGATCCATATTTTGTGCCAAAAGAAATCCAAGACTTTCAGTAACATATTGTCTCATTGCCATTCGTACAAGTTTTTCTTGAACATTACCATATGTATCAATTGTACGCCCAAATTGACGACGATTTTTAGCAAAATCCTATTAAATATTACTTTTTTGTTGCTTTTTTTTTTCATTTATCATAGAAACTTACAATCGATTTTCGAATAGCCATCTTCATTGTACCTGATAAACCAACTACCATACCAAATCGACCATTATTTAAAATATTCATAGCAACCTAGAAAAAATAATATTGAATAAAATCAAAAATATTTTATTTTTATCATTTGTTGTTGTTTTTTTTTTGTGTTACTTTAAATCCATTTCCAACACCACCAAGTACATTTTCAACAGGAACTTTACAATCTTCAAAAAAAACTTCAGTTGTATTTGATCCTTTAATACCCATCTTTTTTTCTGCTGGTCCATTCGTAACACCACCAAATTTTCTTTCAACAATAAAAGCTGTCATTTTATTTTCGACTTGACCTGTCTTATCATCAACATTAGGTATTTGTGCAAATACTGTAAATATATCAGCAATACCACCATTAGATATCCAAATTTTTGAACCATTTAAAACATAATGTTTACCATCAGGTGAAAGTTCAGCTTTAGTTTTTATTGAAATAGCATCACTGCCAGCTGAAGTATACAAAAGAACACAAAAAAAGAAAATTAAATTTAAATTTTTTGAAAAACAAAATAGATACCTGCTGGTTCAGTTAAAGCAAATGCTGCAATATGTTCACCAGCAGCTAATTTTGGTAGATATTTTTGTTTTTGTGCATCAGTACCAAATAGAAGAATGCCTTTAAAACCAATAGATTGATGAGCTCCAACACAAATTGAAATAGCAAGATCATGACCAGTAACAATTTCAAAAAGACGTGCTGCTTGTGCATTTGTTAAACCAAGACCACCTAATTCAACAGGTACTTGAATACCAAATGCACCTTGTTCTTTCAAACCATTCATGACTTCATCTGGAATCTGAATGAACAAGAAAGAACCAATAGAATTATTTTAAAGAAAAACTGGAAAAAAAAAAAACAATTTTTTTTTATTACTTTTTCATTCATATCATTTTTAGCTGCATCATTCTTTTCTTCAAAAAATTTCCATATTGGATCAATAAGCATTTTGACATTATCCTTTTGTTCTTCATTAAGTACATTAGGATATGGAAATAATTCATCTGGCTGAAATTGACCACGATATAAATTTAAAACAAATGAATTTGATGTTCGAGGTTTTGTATCTGTTCGAACAACTTTTTCTTTCAATTTTGGCTTTTGCTCATTTGTATGCGATTCAGATGTGTTTGGTGATGAAGCTAACGATGCTGCTGTTGTAGCCGTTCGATGAGTTACTACTCGACTAAGTAGCGAAATACATGATGGTCCAAGTCGACAACCTGCATTAAGTAACGGAGAATTCATCATCTAAAAATATTTAAAAAAAATATAAACAATTTTTTTTTCGCGATGTATTATATCGACATTGACATATTACAAATAATAACAAAAAAACTTACGCGGCTAATGCGCGATACGTCGCTACAATAACGCGTACAGAACAAAAAAAAATTACAACCATACCACACATACACACCCCCATAAAGGACGTAAAGAAACAAATTACAAAGTCCATTCAGTATGGTGTAGACATGATAAAAAAGAAATCATGTGATTAGACTGCAAACTTTCTCTAAGTCAGTTGAATTTCATTATCACTTTGTGATGATAACATTTGTTTTTTTATTTGTTGTTGTTGTTGTTGTTGTTGTTGTTGTTGTTGTTCAACTATTTCAAGTTTACGTTTATGACACGAATTATTATTAGAATTTTTAAATAATTGTTGAAATACAATTTCATCTGTTTTTATATTATAATTCATTAAATGAATATCTCTACTAGCTAATATATTATTAATTTCTTGAATTGTTTGATTAGGTTTTACAAATAATTTTGTTTGGTCAGATAATAATATGGAAATAATATTAATATTAAGTATTACATAGCTGTCAAATAAAATATATAAATTACATTTTGAATATATTGTATAATCATTAAATAAAATATCTTTTGATGGAAAACAATAATCAATAATTGTACCATAACTTATATCAAATATTAATTGACGTTGTTCATTAATTAATTGTTTTATATTTGATAAACTTGTTAAATAAATTGAATGTAATCGATGTGCATAAATAGAAAAAGCAATATAAACATTTGAATTTATAGAATTATACGAAGCAACATCCATTTTCCAAATTGAATAATCTAATGTTGAAGATAAATCTAATGAAGATTCTTGTGACATTGTATCTTGTTGATAATCTTCTAATGATAATGAACTATTTGAATCATACAATTGAGTATAAAAAATTTGTTTTGATGATAATGTAAGTGCTTTTGAATGTAATAAAACAAGTGGTATACAATCAGGAAGATGCCATAGACGGAGTGTACCTAAAAAAGAAAAACAGAATAATTTTTGTTTTTTACAAAATAAACAAATATTTACCATCGCCTGATGCTGAAAGTATATGATTATTATCAATTAATTTAATATGAGATACAAATTCCGTATGACCAAGACAATATTTTCCACTATGAGAAGTATTTAGATATTGAATTAATTGAATTTTTTCATATTGATCAGCTGTTAATATAAATGATTTTTTATCATTTATACGAATAAAAGCAATATCAAGTAACATAGATAAATGTCGCATAATACAATTTTCAGCTGTCATCATAAGATTATTATTATTAGTAGTGGTAGTATTATTAAATAATAAATCAATTTTATAAATATCACCACTTTTATCAGCAATAAGTAGAAATTCATTATTTAAATCCATAGCAGAAATAAAATTTTTAACACAAATTATTCTTTGTAATTTCCACCAAACTTCAGATTTTTCAAAATTTGATTGAATATATATATACAATTGTTCATTTTGTCCATTTACAACTAAGAATTCTCCATTTGGACTAAATTTTATCAAATTACGATTAAGATAATTGAGATCATTATTAACATCTTTTGATTGTTTTTCAATCGATTCAACTTGAAGATATTGCCATGAACTTGTATCATTTAAATCAAACATACCAACATTACCATTACGTAAATAAATAGCTAACCAACCGGTAGAACTTATTTTTATTTCAGACATTATCTAAAACATAAATAAATAAATAAAAAAGCGCTAGAAAAACAAAACAATGTTATATTTCTTCATTCTAACGGAATCAACAATCTCATGGTCAAGTAATAAAAGTCAACAAAAACATCGTTGGATCATAATCGGAACTCTTATTGGTAGTATTATCTTTTGTTATATATATCTTCAATGTCTATTACCATGTATAATTAAAAATTTAGTCAGTTGAAAAAAAGAAAACAAAAGAATTCAATGAGATTCATCAAGTTTCTTTCATTTAGTTTCGACGTACTACAAATAATGTTTCATCATTAATAAATGATAAATCAAAAAACAATAAACGACATCGATTACGAGTTAAAACACGTATCGATCATGATGATAAACGAAACAATATAAATAAAAAAAAGAATACGATATTAAAGACTGAAATCGAACAAATATGAACAAACAAAAAATAAACAATAAAAAAAAAAAAAAAATTCATCTGGACTTTTTTTCAGGTTTCTTTTTTCTTCTGTCTTTTCTTTTCTTCTAATAGATGCAATAATAAAACCAAAACAAAAAGACTAAAGTATTTTCCTTGTTTTTATTTTTCACATAACAGGAAAATCAATTAATTTTAAATCATCAAAATGTTGATGATGTCCTCCTCCTCCTCCTGCTGAACTACAAGTTCTTAATTCATTATCAGATAAAACAAATGGATTGTTTTTTACAAATGTTTCAATATCATTAACAGTTAATTCATTCAATAATTGATAATTAGTTACTGGTTCATCACATGTTTCATCAACTAATGTTATTTTTCGTGCTTCAATTCCATTAGAATTAAGTATTGTTTCATAAAATGTTGATGATTGTTCATCATTTGTTGATAATGTTTCTATAGATGGTAAAATTTCTTTTGTTCGTTCATCAGAATTAACAAATGTTATTTCATATTCTGTACCAGATTCTAATACATCTTTTTTTCTTATAATTACATCAGTATCATGTTTTTCTTTTAAATGCATACGTAATTTTGATGCATGAAAAAATGGTTTTGAACATATCCAACAAACAAATGGCTAAAAGAAAAATAAATAAATAAATAAATACTTATTGTATAAGCGAATGTTTTATGAATGTCACGAATCAAAAATCTTATATCATGCATTTATTATCATACTCAATGAATTATATGTCCTGAATATAAAGATGTGCAAGAATCAAGACCAAAAAAAAAAATAAACATTTACCGAGATCGGATTGAGACTGAGACTATGAGAAAAAAAGTCGTTCGAATTGGAACTAAAAATTTTTTGCTAGATTTTCTATAATTTTTAGAGAGTTATATTATGAATTATATAAATCAAAGCAAAATTCGGGAGAGATGGTCAAAAACAACAAAGATGATATACACCGGCTGAAGTAATCAAAACACGAGTATGTAAGACTTTTTTCAAATTTTTAATGCGAATCGATTCTGAAATAGTTTTCTTTAGATCTAGAGCAAAAAAGAGAATATTTTGATAGAATTAATATCTCAGTGTTGCAGCTTAATCAGTACTTCGGTGGTCTCCATGTCGATGACTCACTATCAGTATTTACACGAACGCTGTATCTCCCTATCTAGGTCAGGACCCAACATATAAAATAATCGGGATCGAAACTGAAAACAATTTGGCTCCGCACATCTCTAGTTCTGAAAAACCATCATATTTCAAGTCAGAAAAATTTCTCTAATCAATGAGTTTAATTGAACATGTTACTCTCAAAACCTAACAAGGAAACAATTCAGCAAGTTACAAACTTGTACTATTAGTAAAAATAGACCCTGATGAGACTAAGAGACTTTTTGTCTATAGATCAGAGATGGAATTGGTCTGATGTTTTGACGATTGATACTAGTCTGAGCGGTAAATGCCGATCTACTGGCAGCTAATCGATTAAAATACTGGAAGTTTATTTTACTGTGAACTCATGTAATTGACTAACATATACTATGGATCTGGGAAATTTGCACGATTTTTTGATAATGCTCAATATGAGAGTTTTCATCAAAAAACCAACAGTATAATAGAATTATAATATATTGAATTAGATGTTATCATTCTGTTCATTATCTCATTTCATATTTTAATGTCAAACAAGCATACGATTTTATTATTGATAAAAGTGATTTATTTGTGAGAGTTTTCTGAGTTATTTCTGAGATCCATTGTTGTTAAATGAACAGATTTGATCTTGATCGGATACATTTTGTTCTAAAAATATCATTTTCTTTTTAGTTCGATGATTAATCTATTTATCTCTAATGATTATTTAGTTTAAAGTTCATAAAATAAATTAGAAATTGAATTAGTTTAGTGTTTTGACGATCAGCACCAGTTCCATCTCTGCTATTGATGTTCCTTAATCAACTACAGGAGTTCCAGTATTTTATTAGATAGTCAACATGTGACAAAATATTCGAGAAAACTCTACGGATGAATTTCATCTTTTCATATTCGAAAGATCCTTGAATGCTAAATTAAAACGATTACTCACTTCCGGAGATATATCGAATAAAACAGAAATAATTTCATTTTTTTCTAATATTTGATTATGTTTAACATTCAATATCAAGTATCGTCAATATGGCGAATGGAAGATACATAACTATGAATCTTCTTGAATATTTCTTCCTCTGATCAAGGTCTACTTATGCTAATCATATGAGAATCTAATCAAATAGATACTCCCTCTCCTAGAAGAAACGACCATGGCCTTCCATGATGGAAATTCACATCATTCCTCCAAAGCGGACGTTCCATTCTGGAATAGCTTTTTACTAGAAAAAGCAGTAATTTTTATTAAAAAAAAAAAGAGTGGTATTTTACTCACAAGTTGAGTATTCAGGTGTTAATATTCCTTGGATTTCAGAAAACTTATGCTCTTTTATTACAGGATTGCCTTTTATTCTGTTGGGATTTAGTTATATAATGCATTTCTGACAAGTTATCAGCTATGAATTTGTGCTCTGTTTGAATATCGACTTAGAAGTTTTGTCTCAGTTTTTTGTTTCAGAGTAATGCAATAATCTTTGAAAAGGCTAAAAAAATTAATTCAGACGGAAACTTTTTGTATTTCCATTATTCTCATTCGAAACTAAAATTGAGGATCTTTATTTATACATAAACTATCCTACAAAATGCACTATTTCAAGTTTTGTTCTGTCTTTTGACAAGATACCTCGATTTTCGTTTTTCCTAAATACTCATTTTTGAAAAATCGACAACCGCTTTATGTTGAAAGGAGCTCTTGAAACAATGCTTGGATAAAAGCTACAGTTTAGTTCAATATCACATTTTGTCGAGAAGTGTCCGATCTCTCCGATAATTTTTAGCATGTTCGAAAAGAATTTATAGGGTAAACAAAAACCTGTTGGCTCATCATTAAAAACAATTTTTCAAGTCTTTCAAAAAGTCTCTAACTACTCTCAAACAAAACTGAGACAAAATTTCTAACGAGAGAAGCACTCAAGGTGGTATCTTGCGTTTGAAATGAAACCTCAGTCATTACATAGGATCTGTTGAAACTAGAAGAATTCTTCTTCATGTAGTGCCCTTTTGGAGTTATGACTGTCACACTGGTTTTTTAAACTTTTGACACGGTACTTATAAGCAAAGAACTGAATAAAAGAATTTCGACCTAAAACTTTATTCATAGACAGCTCTTGTAGTCAATAGAATCTTTCAAAAACCTCAGTCAAAATGAATGGTCTTTTCTCGAGATATCAAATTCAAAAAGATTGAACTTTTCATCTTTTCAGTAGAATATCGCATGAAATCTGAACATCTTCTATGATTAATTTGATTTTCATTGTGTAAATGAACTTACTTTATAATCAGCATGAATTATTAAATGTTTACGTAAATCATCATTACATCTAAATGTTGCTTGACATCGATCACAAACATATGGTCGTTCATCAAGATGACCACGAATATGAACTTCAAGTTTACATGGTGCAATAAATGTCTTCTTACAATATGGACATGCATAAGGGCTAATACCTAAATGTCGTTGAATATGATGTCGTAAATTTCCCCATTGTGAAAATTTTGAACCACAAAAATCACATGAAAATGGTTTATCTATTAAGATAAACAAAAATTGTTTTTTTTGTTTTTGTGTTTAATAATTAAATTTCAAAAACAAAACAAACCTCTTGTGTGTACACGTTGATGTTTTCTTAGAGCATAAGCAGATGAAAATGTTGCTTTACATTTTTCACATATTAATGACGATACTTTTCGTTCTGGTTTATATGTTTCTAAATGAAGTTTTTGTCCATGTTGATTAACATGTCTTTGTAAACGTTCCATTGATACAGTTATTAAACCACATATGGGACAAGTAAAACGAGTAGATTTTGGTCCACGTACTCGTGGCATATCATCAAAATTTATACTTGATATTGGAGAATTTCTTAAAAGTTTATTACGATTATTATTTGTTAAACGTAATAGATCATCATTAGTTGTACGTTCAATTTGAACAACAGAATTTTTAATAAGTGAATAAGCAAGAACCCAATCATTTGGATTTGTCATATCAAAATGAGTTGGTATTGATGATTGAATCGAAAGATCTAAAAAGCTTAAAATGAATATTGACAAATCTATGACACAAAAAACAATCGAATTTTTTACCTTGAGATAAATTTGGTAAACAATCAAGTTCGGAAGTAAGCGTCTCAATTGGTGAATAACTGGGTAAAAGCTCAGAAGAAACAAATGTTGATGATGAATTTGAATTAAATTCATTTTTTAAATTTAATAAAAATGTTTCATCAATATTAGATAACATTGCGTTAATAATCTACAACGTATATAGAAATCAATTAGATCAGTTATCATTAGTTCATGGCTATAAACGGCCGAACAAACAGCTGTTCTGTTATTTCTAGTCTGATTTAATTTTCATTGGATAAATATCTATATCCAGCCAAATTCTTCTAAAGTCGCTTTTCGATAGATGACATA